GATGGTGGAGGGAGCGGGTGCCGTGGCAACAGGGTTTAGGAGCGTGTGGACGACGATGTTCTGCCCGGTGGTCGCATCGTTTTGAAGCGGTTGAGACGAGGGGGCAGACGGGATGAGAGTATTGCATCTCGTGTGCGCAGACATCGTGTCCACATTGCGACCGACACGGGGGCACATGTCATGCCGCAGGACCTGGTTGCCATGTCAGAGGACGAGATGGGAGATCCTTCCAACAAGATGCGGCGTGACCCGGTTCACGCAGAGGCGCAAGTCTCGGTGACTGATACGATGGTGACGGAGGAGAATACTGGGTTCAGGATCACTCATCCCCAGTTGCCAGCGCCGGTTGTTAGTACTGAGGAGGAGACGGAGTTCGGAGGACCCGGTCCACTCCACCAGGCGCAGACTTGGTGCACTCTAGCAGGCGCCCCAGCCCACTCCACACGAGCGGGTTTGGAGGACAGCGCGGCACGACGTGAGCTGCCTCCTCACACGAGTGACTGCGGTCTAGAGGATGGAGAGGTTGCACCTACTCCCTCTTGTAGACAGGACGGGGAGGACGAACGTCCTCCGACGGACCACCACGTCGGCCTCGACTGCCCGCCCGACAGTCTTCCGCGCACCGACAAGTTATTGACCATGGATTCCGCCTTGGCATTTATGCTCGATGTATCACTATTAATATCTCCCACTTTGGCGGTTGTGGTACCACCGGAGCCTGTTGGACGAGATGACGCTCGTCGTTAGAGGGTTCGACGAGTTCGGCGGCGACACGATACTGCATCCTCCAGAGTACGGCGCTCCCGCCATTTTTCATGTCAGTGGACCGTGGGCGGTGGAGCAGGGGTTGACGGAGAAGGTGGCACGCAACCGTCGTAGCGGACTGCCCGTCGCAGCGCAACGTAGTCTAGGAGGTTCACTAGAGGCAGCATCTGGAGATTTTGTGGCGCAGGGGGGTCATGGTTTGCAACAGTTATCGGACGACGTGTCATCGGTCCGTCCACCGGACGAGGGTCCGCAGCGAGAGCCACATCGAGGCTCGACGGAGACTTTAGAAGCGAGACCTCCCGGAGTTATCCGCTCGGACGGAGGCGAGGGCGTGGGCCATGATACGGCGCAGCCAGGGAGCGCAGACGCTAGACGGTCCATCGGGGGGGGCATCGAGCACATAGGGTCATCGACCTCACACCCCAACATTGTTAGGCCGAGCGCACATGACGTTGGAGACGCTGTCGACTGGTAGAAGAGTTCTGCCAGCCTCCAACACAAACCGTATGGCTCACGCTGCGTCTGTCACCCACGGGAGGGTTGGTTGGGGCTCCTGTAACCTACATAAGTCACGTCAGTACACATCCAAGACAAAGTGCCGCACAGACTGACTCGTAGCCATGTGATGCAAGTCTCAAAGAGTAGGCAGGGAAAAGAACAATATCAGAGTCTCCATTCAGTCAAGTACAATGGGGTGCTCTGCACAGTTCCCGATCTCAAGTGAAGTCTCCCTGTCTATGTGCGTGGGGTCTGTTTGAGTGCCTACTGAACGCGTGGATAACCTCCGCCTAACTCTCCCCCTCACGGGGGCTCGCCGATACCTCGCACGCCTGTTCCACGGGATGGTGCTCGAACTCTCTATGTCAGACGTCTCCTCTCTCGCCCATCGAGGCCATAGCTCAAGCTCGGTCGAGACCTTGCCTCGCTGGGAACCCGATCCGATAAGACTACGCTCCCGAAGCCCGTTGGTGGAAGTACCTTTTCAAAGGCCCGGTTCAGAATTATGCCCTTCCGGCGTCCTCGAGCCTCAAGATGGCCAGCCAGCGCCCCCAGACCGTCGTAAACCCCTCGGAATTCCCGGATCACGAAGTACCCCTTCAAAGGCCCGGTTCGGACTCGTCCCTCTTCGGTCCCAACAAAGCTCGGATAGGCCCGCCTGAGTCACTAGGCCGCCGTAGGAATGTCAAAGGGCTCAAAAGTCAAAATACCCCTTCGAAAGCCCGGTTCGGACTCGTGCCTCTTCGAAGCCAACAAAGCTCGGATAGGCCCGCGTGGATCACTAGACTGCCGTAGGAATGTAAAAGGGCTCAAAAGTCAAAGTACCCATTCGAAAGCCCACTTCACGGTCGTACCTCTTCACAAACATACCCCTTGGAAAACCCACTTCACGGTTGTACCTCTTCACAAACATACCCCTTGAAAAACCCACTTTACGGTCGTACCTCTTCGCGAACATACCCCTTGAAAAACCCACTTCACGGTCGTACCTCTTCGTGGACGTACCTCTTAGAAAGCCCAGTTCACAACCGCACCTCTTCGCGGATGTACCCCTTAGAAAGCCGCTTCCCATTCGTACATCTCGGTGAAGTACTCGCTCGGAGAAGTGTTCACTCGGTGAAATGTCCGCTCGGTAAAGGTGACCTCTCTGTAAAATTCCCGCTCGGTAATGGTGTCCGTTCAAAAAGTGCCCCTTCCGTAGAGTGTCACTCCGGTAAAATGCCCTTCCGGTGAAATGCCCTTCCGGTATAACGCCCTTTGGATTAGAGTGTTCTTCCGCGAAATACCCCGTCGGTAAAGCGCCCGCCCGGTAAAGGTGGCCGCTCTGAGTGTGCCCCTTCGTAAAGTGCTGCTTCGTCCGATGATCCTGAGTGAGCCCCGAAAGTCACCTCCTTTCAGTGATCCTTCCGCACCCAAAGAACCAGTTCGTTGTACCTGGGTGTGGCTAACTCGCACATCGTTCCCCGCGCCCCTATCTGCAGCGTGCGAGCGTGCCCTTGCGCGAGGCTCTATCCCCCTATCTGACCCATTGTGCGCACGCAGCACGTGAATGCGTGCTAGTGTCCCCGCGAGTGCGAAGACGCTTGCGTCGTGGCGAGCGGCGTTTCGACCCGCCAATCCCCCCTTGTTCGCGGGTGTGTACAGTGCCGCGCACCCTTCCCCGTGTGCTCGCACTGGTCCGCGGGTGTGCGCAGTGTCACACGCGCGCTTCCTTGTGTGGTCCGCCGAACCGCAGGTGTGCGTAATGTAGCACGGGCTTCTCCGTGTGATCCCGCTGGCCCGCGGGTGTGCGCAATGTGGAACGCGCCTCCCCATGTGTTCCCGCTGGTTTCAGGTGCTGTCGCGGGATGTTCCCACTCGTTTCAGTCGCCGCCGCTACTCGGCTCTCCCGCGCGAGCGATAGCGCGCAGATCTCTTCTCGCTGTTTGGTTTTTCCGTGCAAGCGATGGCGCGCATGGTCCTTTCTTTCTCTCGCATCTCTGTATGCGCCATGGTGCGGTTCTTCCCCGCTGTCCGCGCGCACAGACACACGGGTGCGCAGGTGTCCCTGCTCGTCCGCACGAGCGCATGAGTGAGCAGGTGCGCGGCTTTCGCGCGCGGCCTCCCACAGCTCGTATACGTTAGGTCGCAAGCGTTCAGGCGCGCGCCTCCTCTCTGTACATTCGCGCGGGTGCGCGGAAACCCGGTGCGTGAGCTCCCTAGCGCGGCTTCCCCTTCGTCTACCCGCGTTAACTCGCTGTCGCGCAGGCACGCGCTCTCTCTTCCATGGCTTCTCCTCGTTCGTCCACAAGCGCGTGGGTGTTCAGGTGAGCGTCCTCATCTGAGCGTTGCAGCCCGTTCGCCCCCCCGTGCGTGCTGCAGTTCGTCCTTCTCCTGTGCATGTTGTCGTTCGCCCTTCTCCCGTGCGTGTTCTTGTCCCCCATGCCCGTACCGTGTACACGAGAAGTGCCCTCCGATTGTGCACGTGTGAAGTCTCGTGCGTGCCTGCCTCCCTCGTGCACCAGTGTCGTGCGCCTCAATTCCCACATGCGAGAAGTCCCCCAACTAAAGACCCCGTTCAGTTTTTATACTTTGTTGGGCCCTTCTCTCCCCCTGTCTCATATTCCGGAGGCTGCCACAAGTTGCAGCGCCCTTGTACCAAACCTATGCTCGAGCCTACCTGGGCCCTCGAAAGGTTTTTATCGAGGAGGGTGTTTTTGTTGGGAACCGGGCCTTTTGCAACGCCCCGGTACCGGTCCTATTTCCGAACGTGTCCCGGGCCTATCTCGGCCTTGGTGGTCCCCACTCATAAGTGGTACCAGCCTCCCTTGTAAAAGTCACGCGGGCCCTCCCAAAACTCTAGGCCGGGAGGCCCATCTCCGAGCCCTAGACCCGCACCATTCTCCTCTTAGTATCGAGGCCCCCGCGTAGGCCCGATCCCACCGCTTATTCACGCAGGGTGTCCTCGAGAATCTGGTTACTCGAAGCAACTTCGGACACCGTCACCGCTCAAAACGCCCGTAGCCTCAAGATAAACGCGAGGTGCCTCCGTTCCCTCGACCATTTCGCCGGCCTCTAGTATCATCTCGACCTTTCACGGCCGTACCCTCTCGTCCAACCCCTCGGTAGTTGTCCGCTGTGGTAGCCTCTTTGTGTTCGTCGGTAGCTTACGTCTTAGGTCCTCTTCGCAAAACTACCGCTGTTCAACGCTCGAGCCCGTTTGAACTGAATGTCGTAGCCCGGCCACTCGTTCTGTCAACCTGTCGTGGCATTTTACCCGTGGTCGGTGAGCCCCTGTCAGGTAGAAACCAACAAATAGAAACTTTGTAGCGCGCCCGTGTAAGAGAAGTAAAGGGCGACGTAGGGTTGGAGCCGCCCGACAGCAGCCCGCCCCCCATTATCGACGTCCCCGGCGAGCGATCTGGGTATATCCAGGAAAAGGGAGGAGAAAAGCTGACTCCTAATCTCTACCCATCAACCCAAGATTGTCTTCTTTTTCCTCACCGAGTTCTTTTTTGTTGTTTTTTCTTCTTTTATTGCTTCTTCTTAACTAATCTCTTTTTGACCCCTAATCGGTTGGTGGACCTCCGTTGTCTGTTCTCATAGCGGTGCTGACTCTCTGTCTTGTCTACTACCAGTATGGCCTTAATAGTCTCCTTGCCCTTTCGCTTTTTTTCCTTTCTCAACCCGGCCGATTCTACGACTTCGCACTTCTTCGTTTTCGTGCCTTTCCATTGTCTACCCTTGACCCCTAGGGTCTTCTCTTTCGCTTTTCTTGTAGACATCTTAGAGGATTCTCATATCTCATGAGTGACCTCCCTTATAGGGTCTGCTTCGCGCTTCTCCAGACGTCTTTCTAGTCTTTCTCTTTATCCTTCCGCAGATGCAAAGTAGGCTCCTTTCGTTCCTTAAAGACTTTTAAGCGAGCACCGGGTACTGGTTCCGCCCATCTAGCCCCATCTAGTTCCTCTATCAGATAGGCTCCACCTTCCAGCCTCTTTACCATACGATAGAGCCCCATCAATCGGTTCGCTAACTTCCCAGTCAAAGTCCTTTCTAACGAAGAATCGTAAAGCAAGACTAGACCCCCCTCGGGTATCCCTTCCTACCTGACTCGGATATGCTTATCCCATCTCTCCTTCTCCTTTCCCCTTTGGATCTTTAGCTTTTCCGTACCATCCAGGGTGCTATCCTCAAGGGTCTCGGCTATTTGTTTGACTCTTGCGGCCAACAACTGTTCTCTAGTCGAGACTTCCTCCCAGTCAATCATCTGCCAAGAATCGATATGGAATTCTATTGGTAAGGGGCAGTGTTTGCCACACCACAAAGTGTAGGGGGGATATCCAGTGGTTGATCGAACGGTAATGTTATCCACCCAGACAGCGAATCTTAGATACCTAGGCCACTTCTTTTCCTTTCCTTCGCACCATTTGGCGAGCGCATTCACTAGAGACTGATGTCCCCTTTCTACAGGAGCGTTAGTTTGGGGATGGTATGCCGTGGGCAGTGACACCCGTATTCCCGCCTTCTGGAGCAGTTCCTGGATTTCTTTGGCCATAAATTCTGACCCCCTATCCATAACAATCTTCCCCGCACAACCATACCGAGTGATATACTCCGTTAGATATCCACTAACAGCCTTGCCGGTTTTCTGCTTCAATGGCCATGCCTCTACAAACCTGGTCAAATCGTCCCTAATGTCCATGATAGAATTCATTCCCCCTTCTCCTTTGGGCATCTTAACTAAATCCACGTGAACTTTTTGACCTACCGCTGTAGGATACGAAGGAAACAGTGGTTCCTTATACTTAACCACAACCTTTTCTGACACTCCACGCATGTGAGGCAATACGCTCCCACGTCCCTATATAGACCATCCCACCAATAAAGGTTCCAGACCTTCTCAAAGGTTCTTTTTACTCCTCTTTGTCCCCCAACGACGCCGTCGTGAAGTTCCGCTATTATGTCTCGTTGCTCACCCTCGTCACAGACGACCCTCATTGGCATCCCGTTCTTAGGTGGCCTCTTAAAGAGGTGGCCCGCCCTTAGGCAATACTATTGAGCCTCCTTCCTAACCTTGTCATCCAACTCGGCCTCCCCTATGAGATACCGCCCTATC